TTGCTTTTTCAAATCCTTATAGAACTTCATAATGAACTTCTCAGCAGCTTCATCTACATGATTATCCTCTTCAGTATCCCTTAATGGAAATGGAGAGTCTGTAATCCTAAGTTGCCTTACCATAGGGCTCTTCCCGAACCCCGGCAAGGCCGGTGACGCCGCCTCACTATGCAGCATCTCCAAGGCTTTCAACACGGCATTTGCAGTCGCAAGTTCGTTGGCCGTGGGTGGCGCGCGGTGGTGGCTGCCGTGTTTAAGCTTGTTAAGATTAAAGGGGATATGAAAATTAGGATAAGCCGGGCTGTTACTGCAACTGAACTCGTATTCGGTGACTGAGATAGGGAACGACATATTGCGTTGGTGGGGGCGGCGGCCGGAGGCGGACCATGGATGGAACATGAGATTTTGGAATGCCTTGCCGGCAATTTTGCCACGTTTCATCATCATGTTAAGATCAGCTAATAATTTTCCCTTTGATATGCCTTTTCTTAACATGAAAAACATCACACGTACTATGTTCCATACTTTCTTGGCTATAATTGGTAGATTTTGCTCCATTTTTGGATAGATTTTGGTATTTTTAGAGAGAGAAAAGGCTGTGTGTTGAATATTGGAAAGAGAGAGAGGTAGGTTTGGGAGAAAATGTATTGAAAAAGAAGATTATTTTGAATATTTGGGAGAGGCATATGAGAACGGTATATAAAGGCCTCCAAGGAGGAGAGAGGACGCTCCAAAATTGCACATTGATCAACTTTGAACTAAAATAACCTTGAGGTGCTCGGAATCTTGGAAACTTTATTTTGATCCACATTTTTTTGAAAGAATGTATTTTGGAATAGTAGATTGATGGAGAATTTGTGGTTGAAAAGGAAAGAAAAGTTATTGATGTAATGGAAATTATTATTTTATTGAAAGATATGTGGTTGAAAATGAGTACAAGAATGAGAATAAAAATTTTAATGTGTACCTAACAGGGACTTAATGAATGGGCAAAATCCAGGTATTTTAATATCGTAACATGTTTTATCATAAATGAAGATAAAATAAAATATAGAGGGACCCTAACCGATGTTTAGTCCATAAATTAGTCACTATGCTTTCCGAATAGTTCAGATCGGTCCCTAATTTTTTTTATTCTTTTCTGAGTTATTCAAGTTAGCCCCTAAACTTTCAGTTTTCTGTGAATTAGCAACCATGATGCTACAGAAATGATAAGTTGGGGACTTGAATACCAAAAAAAATAAACAAGGACCCATTTGCTACTAAATGAATATGTTGAGAACTAAAGCAGAAATTAATCCATAATCTTTAATTATTTACAATTATTAACGGGATTAGTAATTAATTAGGCAGGTTCAAGATCATCGGATCACAGCATACGTAAATCATTAAGAAGTTTGTACCATTTTTGTTACATAAATAAGGACAGATGACTATAGTTAGAATTACATTGTTTTTCGATTATTGAATTTTATTTACCGTAATTTCTTTCTTTCTTTCTTTTCTTAATCAAAACTATTTATTCATATTTTCTCATTTATTAGAGGATGAAAGCTAAATGAGTCGAGATGCTTTCTTAAGATGAGATGAATTCACTATCAATGAATTACCGTATTTTTGGTTGTAAGAAACCTTAGCCCCTTTTTTTCTCTTTTCCTTTTCACTTTTTTTGGGACTTTCGACTACGATAGAAGACATCTGGAGTGTCAGAATGTTCGGTATTCTTCTCGTTACTTGTCTTAATCTTGGATTCGACAATATGTTTAGCCTTTCATATATGCTTGAGAAATACTTGCTTCATTTTCGAATTTGATATTTGAATGGCCTTTAATTTAGTATTTATTTGAGACATTATTGTGTTAGTTGATAAACAACTAACAACCAACTTAAAATATGATGATTCACTTTAGCCTACTAATGTGAGATTAGAAGAGAAAAATTATTCATGTTGACATTTTTGTAATGAACTTTTTGAAGAGTAAACTAATGTGGAATTATGTAACTAATAAAGTGAAGAAAGTAATAAATCTTAGTCCAGAGTTCTGCAAATCCCAAAAAAAAAAAAAAAAATCTAAATCATAAATCTTTAAATCTTTTTTTTAAAAAAAAAAAAATCCAATTAATAGGTTGTTGGGTTGTGTGTCCATATAATATAGTTTTCCTGATATAAAAATAACAATATTCTTATACTAAATAAAATTATTTTTTCATTTATTGTATTTATTTAATTATTGCACATGCGAATTAAAGTGCATATGGTCACTTATGATAATATAAGTTGGGTACTTGTGTTGAGAAGTACAATGTGACACAACTTATATTTTGATCATAAATAATTTGTTCCACTACCTATGTATAAGGGTTGGCACCTTGTACCGAAAGGTTGTAGTGTTATCTGATTCACTATTTGGGTTGTGATTTGTCCTTATCACAAAAATAATTAAAGGTGACACTAGTAAATTTGGAGTGTATTGAACGGACTACGTCTCGAGTTTAATTCTAGAGTATGACCGTGCGAAGAATTAAATTTCAGTTGACCGCTATGTATTTCATCTAAATCCCTTGATAGAGTTATGTATTATCTTTTCGTGATTTTAATGATTATTTGATTCATCAATGCGTGAGATCAATTTAATTGGTCAAATGTTTCGATGAGTTGGGAACTTGAGAATGAACAAAGTAGAGAATATGAATTCGGGTCGAGAATCGTCTTCCTAAAAAATGGGTAGAGTGACTACTTAAGTATTTTCTGTTGAACGGTTAAAATCTAAGTTCAGTGTTTAACGACGTCTAAATTTCGACATTTGTGATTTGATCACAGGACTGTCGAAGAAAATGGTGCTTAAGTTAGTGAAAATAATTAGAGGGGTAAAACGATCTTTTACACTCGTACCTGATTATCGAATCTCGGACGGGGATAAAATACATATACGGCATGTCAGAGAAAAGTATTATAGATATATTGGCTTCTGTGATCTTATATATTCCGAAAATGTGGTCTTTTACTTTTAGTGAAAAAAAACAAAGACTAACAATTAGATTGGTTGGTTTATGGTCGATTAGACAAGATCTAATTATTGTAGCTTGGGAAATATATGTCCGATTAGGTCCTTGTGATAGCTTTATAAAGTAATTGAACTTAATTACGGTAATTATAATAGTTTTGAACTTAATTGTANAACGGTAATTATAATAGTTTTGAACTTAATTGTAATTACACTAAAGTTTTGTACTTACGTGTAATCACTATAAAAGTTGTAAAATTAATTATAATTGTAATTGAAGTTCTAGGATTACACATATAATCAAATGTAAACTAATTGGATTTAGATTTTAATTAAAACTCATATTTTGATTTTAATTAAGACTCTTATTTGATATTGAAATTATTATTCTACATGACTTGAAACATCTTTTATCTCTATAAATAGGGATTAGATGGACATAAAAATCCTACAAGAATCATAATACATAATTTCATAGTGTTCAAATTTGGGGAGAGAGAGAGGGAGAAAGTAAGAAAAATCATATTTTCTTATTGTCCAATTCAAGAATTAGTTTCTTGATTTAATTAAAAGAATGTGCCAATCCACTAGATATAGTCTTGACTTTGGAGAATACCATAGGAGACTTTGAAATTTGAAGTATCAAGTTCTTGCAATTAAAAGGCTCAAAGGTTGTAATTCGGATCCAATTCTAGAATTGATCATCGAATTTATGTAAAAAAATTTGAATCCCTAATTTTTGAAATAATATACACGTGAACATCTAGACGATCTTGTTTATTGAATTAAAGAAAATTTTTAATTTTTGAATAATCCCGCTTCCGCATTCCAACAACGTGTATCAAAGCAATTTAGATCGTTCACGTGTTTGTTATTTATAAATCTTGATTGCATGGTCTAGTCAAGCGATATTTAGGAATATTTTATTATGTGATGATTGAATGATTGAATTTTTTTAAACTGTGATCCAATTATTTGTGGCCAGTTCTTAATGTAATTCGTTATTTCGAGTTTGTAACAAGATAAGTGGATTATGACTCCATCATCTTGATTTAATTTTCTTTTCAATTAGATTCAAAATTGTGAGCTTACGGGACATAGAAATTATGTTGTTGAATCTTAAAAATTGAAGACCTAGAAGACATAAAAAGAAAATCAAGAAATTACAGCAAAATAATAATAATTTCGGACTGCACAGACAGATTTATATCGTCTGCTGCGGCAAACAGTTAATTTTGTATGCACGCAGATAGATTTTGATATACGTGTAATTTTTCTGCGTGTCACACGATTCAGGTTCGTATTTGCGAATAAGATCGGATCTAGATAACTTAAATTTGAAATTATTTTTTACAGGTACGATGGAGGAGTCCTATTGCTGTTTTGATTTGTACCGTTGGATCATTGGAGATTTTTGGGCTGAAAATTTAGATTAAAAATTAGTTTTTGATTTAATTCTTGAGTCATTTAAGGGCCACAAATAATTGTTAATTTATTGTTCATGTATGCTTTGAATTATTGTTTGAAATATTATGATTTTAGATATCATGACATATTGATTTATTTATGACATCGTTCGTGATACTATGAATAGAATGCTTATCATTGAACACTAATTTTTTCTTGATTAATTTAATTTATATTAATTTTTCTGGATAGAAAAATCGTGATAATTGAAATGTACGTTAATATGATTAATGTGAACAGTTGATAATTATTCAAAATTAAAATCCATTACTTTAAAAATATTGAGTGGGAGAGGGTGTTTATTCAAATAAAAACTCTTGGTCTCCTTTAGTTAATCCATAAGCAAAGTTACACGTTTGCATCGTGTCAGTATTGCAACGAATTCCCTATAGGAGGGTCGCGTTGTTCGAGTTGCCTGATCGGATTTCTTTATGATAAGATCGTCTAGATAGAATATAATTTGTGATCATCATATGGATGATAAAATTATTTTCAAGTATATGGAGATTGAGACAAAAGTTATACACTCAAATAAAATGATACTAAGCTTAATATAGACATTTGTTGTCGGATATAATTTGTCTAGTGAGATGGTCTCAGATTGATCAGTGGACATGGTGACATTTCCTATAGAGAGGCATGTTGGATCACAAGGATCGAGTTATCATTGCATTATTGTAGTTAGATGGATCTACATATGCATGCATTCATCATATGCTAAATTATTATTCATTGCTCAATTCTAATATGCAATAAATGGTTATTTTTCAGCAAAATGTCTCTCAACGCATTTTTCATTATTCTAAAACAAAACCAACTTATCGGGGATAATTATGTGGATTAGAAATGGAATTTGATGTTTGTGCTTATTGCCGAAAAACTTGATTTTGTTCTCGAGGAGGAATGTCCTGAAGAACTCACTGAGACAACAGGCAAAGCCAAGATGGATGCGTATGATAAGTGGATCGCAACTGATAAAATGGCTCGTTGTTCCATTTTGACATCAATGTCAAACGTGTTACAGCAAAGGCTTGAAAGTCAGGAGACCTCTCATGACATACTAGAAAGCCTGAAGGGCATGTTTGG